AGTGCAATTTATTCGCAGGTTTCTCGCCTATGTTGATTCTTCTGTGACTAGAAGCTATTAACAATTTTGCGAAAATTCTCTATAGGCGGATGTACGTATGAAAAGGAAAATGTTTTGGTTGGAGCCGGTCACAAAAAGTTCGGCACTCTTTCTTTCAATTTTGCATACAATTATTCAATCAAAATTTAAGAGAGGAAGAAAATTGACTGTTTTTTTAAATGCAAAACTAATTTATAACTTCAAGTCAAGCTTGTGAAAGGTGACTCTTGAGAACAACTGCCTCAGCAATTTTCAAGGCCTGTCTCTGCTGTTTGTAATTTTGTCTCTGATTTTATTTCCTTCTGCCACTGACGAATTATAACCCAATTTGGTGTTACTCTGATGGTACAGTCTTTTGACATCAGTTGGACAGTAAGATTCAATGATATGACTGTTATCCTTTCGGGTCGCGGGGACAGACGCTTCATGATTGCCTGCAACATTCTCGAATCTGTGCCAGAATTCGAGCTTCGGCAGAAATAACCCGAATCGGGAACAACGTCTTTCCACACACTTGCCCCTGGTTATTCTTGGTTGTTCCTTGGATCTTGGTCGGTCGTTTGGGCAATTAATAGTTCCTTCACTTTCCTCTCTGAAGGAATTCTCAACACGTGCCTAAACAACATCGGTCGATCTCTTCCTCCCATTTTCCTTCACCAGTAAGCACCACCCTGAGATACGTCAACTTCTCTACCTACTGCGCTGCTTCTCCATTTATCTAAAGGGCACAACCGGCAGAAAAATGAGGAAGCACAGGGCTTTTCTTTTTAAGCAACGTCACACCGATTCCAACCAGCCGCACTGCGGAGCGTACCTTTCAAGATAGCGCTGAAGATCGTCATCAATTTATGCCAACAAAACAAATTTTTCTGCAAACAGCAACCTTCTAGTTTCCACATTTCGTACACTGACAAACTCGTCGTCCTGGCTGGCCTGACTATTCTTTCAATTTACAAACAGGAGTGGAAGCAGAATGCGGCCATCACAGATTCCAGTTGCCAACAATGATAGGTTTCGACTTAACGCCATTTATTCTGACGCAGCACCTGCTATCGACATATAGTGACTGGATGGCTCGTAGCAACTGGCCATCGATCCTATGTGTTTGCAGGCACGTCCATGGACTGTTGCACTGGATCCTGTCATAGGCTTTCTCAACGTCCACAAAGCACATATAAAATGAATGACACAACTCCCATGATTTCTCAACAATCTGGCGTAAGGCGAAGTTCCAATCAGAGGTGTTTCGGTCTGACCTGAAGCCACAGTGCCCTTGTTGAATCTCAAAGTCACTTATTCCGTGGCATCTCCTTTCCAACGCCTTTGAATAGACCTTTTTCCGGGAGGCGCAATGGGGTAATTCTCTGATAATTGGAGTAATCCTTATTGCGAACCTTCTTGAAAATAGGTATTGCCACCCACAACCCTATTTCTCAAGTCCACTGGTGTCTTCCCCCCAGTCCTGCTGTCTGGTTGACATCTGTTAGCCACATCATGCATTGTTCGCCTAGAGGTTTAAGAATCTAAGGGAGGATTTCATAGATGTCATCATTCTTGCCATTTTTCAAGCCCTTTACAGTTGTGACTTCATATACTAAAAGACTGGTATCCTGTTGCCCGTCAGGCGAGTCTTCCTGTGATTGCTTGGAGTTAAGGAGTTTCTAACCTGCTCACTCGTTGCTCGGGTTACTAAGCACCTCGCAGGTTGTTGGGGAACTGAGGTAGGCTGCGAAATGTCAGCGATCAGAATCTGCTTCTCGGCGTCTGGCAGCTAGGAGCTTAGCAGCAAGGCGACGGCTGCTGAATATCGACAAAAAGACGATGAGGCTACCGATCAGTAACGGCGCTGCTGCCCGTTCTGGACCGAGGAGGCAAATGGCACGATGCCTATATAGCACGCCATATAATGGTCCATGGGAGTGATGTCTGTTTGGCACTCTGTAAAAAATTAATCTCTACGTTGTTTTTGGAAGTGAACCTTACTCTACTTTGCTCTTTACTGCATTGCTTTATACCACTTGATTGCGTACTTCTGTGCAGTCTTGCTGACCAGTGGCGTTAAGTATCTTCACAGTTAAAGAACCATCACCCTTAAATCGGAGTTAAGAAAGAATGATGCACTACGTGATGCCGGGTTTCTCCGTCTTTTTTCACCCGTGGTTTTAGAAGCATCAGTGAACATCACTTCTGATAGTTTGGTTACGTCGTTAGCTTAGTATCTCTTGATGTCATCGTTAAA